AATTTTATTGAAGTATAGTTGAGGTACGATATTATATAAATGACAGGTGTACAGTGTAGTGATTCACAGTTTTTAAAGGTTATGCTCCACTTATAGTTACCATGGAATATTGGCTGTATTTTCAGTGTTGTACAGTATATTCTTGTAGCTTGTTTTACACCTAATAGTTTGCACCTCTTACTCTCCTACTTCTGTAATTGCCTCTCCCCTCTCCCCACTGGTAACTGCTAGCTTGCTCTCTGTATCTGTGAGTCTGTTTCTGTTTTGGTTACAGTCACTGGTTTGTTGTATCTTTTAGATTCCGCGTATAAGTGGTGATGATGTTCAGTCACCCAGTCTTGGCTCTGTGACCCCAGGGACTGCAGCATGCCAGGCCTCTCTGTCCCTCACTGTCTCTCTCTCTCTTTTTTCCCCCTCACTGTCTCTTGAAGTTTGCCCAAGTTCATGTCCATTGCATCAGTGATCCAGCCATCTCGTCCTCTGATGCTGTCTTCTCCTTCTGCCCTCAGTCGTTCCCAGCATCAGGGACTTTTCCAGTGAGTCAGCTGTTCGCATCAAATGACTGAAATACTGGAGTTTCAGTTTTAGCATCAGTCCTTCCAACAAGTATTTAGGGTTGATTTCCCTTAAGATTGATCTCCTTGCTGTGCAGGGGAGTCTCAGGAGTCTTTTCCAGTGCCACAGTTCGAAGGCATCAGTTCTTCAGCACTCAGCCTTCTTTACAGTCCAGCTCTCACACCACGTGATCACGGGGTTATAAGTGACATCATACAGTGTTTGTCTTTCTCTGTATGACTTATTTCACTTAGTATAATACCCTCCAAGTCCATGTATGTTGTTTCAGATGGTTAAGATTTACTTTTAATCTTGATGCTCTTTTATTTGTTTGTTACTTATTTTAGGTTAGGAGCAATATTTTCTGTTAGTTTAATATGAATAGGAAAAATAGTTTTCTGTCACGTAGCGGCTATGCAGTAAATATTTGTCAAATTGCATGGAAGAAGCAATTAAAAAAATGACAAGAGGACTTTGGACACATAAAGACTGAGCAGTTGAAATCTTCATCCAGATTTCCTACCCAGAAACAGTAGCTTTCCTGCAACAATCTACCATACTTTTGTTTCATAGATTATAAAATGCTTTCTTATAAACTAACATGAAGTATGGTATATATGAAAGTGCTTTACCAGAGTCTTTAGTGCTCTAAAATGTAAATTTTTTAAGATTAAACCTTGATATATTTAATAGATTATTGTAGCATTTTGCAAATAGGATTTTTGAAAGCTCCAACATGTATATGCATATACAGTTTTTTTTTCACTATGGAAAATGTCAAAGTTGATTCAGTGCAGTGACCCCTCATGTACTCATCACCTAGTTTTAGCACGTATCAACTCATGACCAGTCTTGTTTCATCTCTGTCCCTACCCACGCCCTCATCTCCACATGAAGTGATTTTTTTTTTCCCCAAAAAAGTGACTTAAACAACATTTTTTTAATCTAATAGTTCTGGAAGTCAAGAGTGCAAAATCAGTCTCCATGGACTAATATCAAGAACACTGGAGTGGGTAGCCTATTCCTTCTCCAGCGGATCTTCTGGACCCAGGAATTGAACCCGGTCTCCTGCACTGCAGGCGGCTTAGCAGAATAGTTGGTATATTAATATATATGGGCTGTATCTCTTCTGAAGTTTCTAGGGGGAAGTTTGTTCTTCCCTTTTCCATCTTCTGGAGGCTGCCTGCATTGCCTGACTCAGGCCCATTCCTCCATCTTCAGAGCCAGTGGCATTACATGTCCTCTCCTCTCTGACATCTGGTTCCATCCTTCAATTTTTTTTTAAATTAAGATAAAACTCACATAACATAAAATTCACCAAAGTGTATATAATTCAGTGGCTTTTATTATATTCACAGTGTTTTGCAATCACCATCACTATCTAATTTCAAAATATTTTCATCACCCCGGAAAGAAGTCCCATACCCATTAAGTGATCACTTCCAATCCCTTCTTTTTCCCCAACCCAAATATTATGAATAATGCTGCTTGAACATTTGCTATACAAGTTTTTGTGTGAAAACTTGCTTTTGGTGATTTTGGCTATATACCACGGAATAGAATTGCTCGATCATATGGTAATTCTAAGTTTAAGTTTCTGAGAAAACTGTTGTGCCAGTGGCTATGCCATTTTACATTCCTGCCAGCAATGTGTGAGAATTTCCATTTCTCTGTATATGTACCAACACTTGTGATTTTCCTTTCTTTCCCGCCTTTTATGGCCATCCTGGTGGATTTGAAATGTTATCCCAGGTGATATTTAAAAAAAAAATACTTTGGCTTAAAACATATATGGAAGTTCTGCTGTTTAGTCCACTTCCTTTTTTTCTTTCTGTCCTCAGAATTTACAACTTAATACAGATAGTTGGCATTCATTTGACATCTACCATGTGCTGGGAGCAGTGTTGAGCTCTTCACTTGTATTATTTCATTTACGGGGTATAGTCACCCTCGACTTGACCAGCAGTCCAGATTCATGTATGGGCTTCCCTGATAGCTCAGTTGGTAAAGAATCCGCCTGCAATGCAGGAGACCTGGGTTCAATTCCTGGGTCCAGAAGATCTGCTGGAGAAGGGATAGGCTACCCACTCCAGTATTCTGGCCTAGAGATTCCATGGCCTATATAGTTCATGGGGTCACAAAGAGTAGGACACAACTGAGTGACTTTCACTTCAGATTCCTATGCATAAACAACCCAGTAGGTAATTATAAGGGTGAGGAAGAGAGTAGGTGTATTCTTTCAAGGAAGCTTGAAATGGGAAGAAACGTGTTTATGAAGCCACAGACATTTACGATAAGATTGCTTATTACAGCAGGAAATTCTGTTTGCAGAAGGATTCACTCCCAGTTTCCTTTAACTAGCAAGCTTCTTTGGTTCATTAAACCACGTTCAAGGTACTAAATCTGAAGAATGGATAACTATTTTCAGAAAGTTGTCTGTTACGTGAAATGAGGCACACCTGACTACTTATTTGCTCATTAGACCTTTTCCCTAATTATTCTTCAGCATAAGCAGATGGGAGTATGCTCAGCAGGACTCATGAGATAAAAATATCCCTGGATTTGGTAATTAGAAAGTTTTGATAATCTTGAGAAGAGTGGTTTCTGCATTAGGCAGGGATGGGGCAGAGAAATGCAGCCTTGAAGGCAGTATCACATATGGCTTCATTTTGGGGTAAAGAAAGGTTCGGTTCAGTTCAGTTCAGTCGCTCAGTCGTGTCTGACTCTTTGTGACCCCATGAATAGCAGCACGCCAGGCCTCCCTGTCCATCACCAACTCTTTAGGGGTGGAGAAATCAAGGGGAAAGAGTGAAAGTAAAGGTAAATGATTCTTTTCAAAAAGGTTGAATGAGACAGGAAGGAGAGTGGAGAAGATATAAGGTAAAGAGAGAGATTTTTTTTTTTTCATGGTCAGTAGCAAGAGAACCAACCATGTTTTTGTAGACTCGGAATAGAGCTAGATCGGATGTTGAAGACAAACAGCAGAGAAGGAGTAATTAACTGATGACGACAGGTGCAAGGCAGTGGACTGATGGGCGCAGATGAAACAGTTAGCTCTTGGCATGGGGATGTTCTCTGTAGCAAGCTGAGGCATGGGGCAAAGCTGGTACCCAGTAGAGTCTTGACTCCTGAGATCAAAAACATATGGTCTTTCCAAAGCTCTTCAGGTTGAGGCTGTTGAATTCTCATACCCAAGTGCTTCTTTTCCAGGAGTGCTGGGATTGCCAGTTCCTAAATATTTCAGATGTCTTGTGTTATAAAATGTGGGTTGCTTCCTGGCTTTCCCCACTCTTAAGTGCTTAGGATTCTACTTTTGGGGGCTAAGTTCTTGTTCATGTATCTTATTTCAACATTTTTGTATGTGTGTGCATGCACTCATGCGCTTAAGGGTTTATAACTTAAAAAAAATTTCTTTATAGACCTATTACAGAATTTAAGGAGGTTGCAGACTTAATTGCTTGTTCCAGTTTTTCGGTCTCCTCATCAACACTTGTTTCTTTTCCTTTCCTGTCTTTCTCCGTCTCTATTATGGTCATCCTAATGGGTGTGAAATTGTGATCTCACTGTGACTTTGGTTTGTATTTCCCTAATGACTAATAATGTCAAGCATCTTTTCATGTGCATTTTGGCTATTTGTATGTTTTCTTTGGACAGATGTCTACTGGGTCACTTAACCTTTTTAAAATGTAAATGTTCTTTTAATACTTCATAATCAAAACACTTCCAAATTGTGCATTAGTGGATACTCTCTTTCCCTGTGGTGGCAGTGATGAGGAAGACCTTTTAATGAAGCTGCTACGGAAATAGGTTAAAGCTCAAAGATCCCTTGGCGGTCAGGTAGTATTAAATTGCCCACAATATTGGCTCAAAGTAAAGACAATGAAGAAATTCGAGTAAGGAGTAAAGTAAGTTATATTATTAAGAACTTTTGAACATAAACCTAAACAAAAAAAAGGGCTTTGGAAAAGAGGGTATTTTATAGACACAGGGGTTTCCCTAATATGCTTATTTTTTCATTTACCAAATTCTTTTATTCCTTTAACTGGAAGTAGAATCTTAAGATATTTAAATAATATGGCTTGTGTCTGGCTCCTTTCCTGTCTTTCTTATTTTGCCCTAACTTTCCCATTTTGTCACCTGTGCATCAAGCGACGTAAAGATAACAACTGGATTTACTAATAGATGTTACCCGACTATTTTTGGTATTCCAGAGACCATGCTCTACTGTTTCATTTTTTATTATTATTATGAAATTGACAGTGTAGTTGTAATTTTACTCCATTGGCATTTTTTCAGTCTTGTTTATACTGATGACTGCATAAAGATCTGACTGATTTAAGAAAGACTATTCTTGACGGATGGGTCCCAGGACTTATTTGTTAGCCTAGTTTTTCTTTGTACCTTCCTATCAATTACTCTGAATATTTTTCTTCATGTCATTGTAGCCACTTCCTGAGAAGTTTGTGGTAAAAGGTGTCGTGGATCGATTTTCAGAAGAGTTTGTGGAGACCAGAAGAAAAGCTTTGGATAAATTCCTGAAAAGAATTACAGATCACCCTGTACTCTCCTTCAATGAACACTTTAATGTTTTCCTTACTGCCAAGGTAAGGCAGACTCTTTCATAGTCCTCCCCCAAATTAGCATTCTTTCTACTTTCCCTTAAAAGCTGTGCTGATCTCTCCAGGGCACACCTGTAGTTAGTGGATGACATAGAATTGCTCTGGGTTTGTGTCTTTCGTGTTTTTTCTTGGTGCTCATCAGCCCTGGCATGGTTTCCGTGTTAGAATTCAGGAGAACTATCCCCCTGCAGCAGCTGAGGAAGTTAGACTGTTTTCACTTGCCAAAAGCAGAGATGTTTTCCTGAACACTTACCAGCAATATTACTGGGCGAGGCCATTCAGATCAACAATGGGCATGAAAGGGCAGGAATGTTCATTGAGTGTTTGGTAAGGACGTTTTTCACAGGAACGTCATGAGGGTTGGCTCAGAGTCTCATTTCACGGGTGAGGAGGCTGAAGTCAGGGTGTGCATATGAGTTCAGCTGGCATCACTGGGATGTAAACTGGGTCTTTGTGGCTCTTGAGGCCACAGTTTTCCTGGGTATCGGACCACCTGACCAAGAGGAGTTTAGCATTACTTCAGTTCAGTCACTCAGTCGTGTCCGACTCTTTGCAACCCCATGAACCGCAGCACGCCAGGCCTCCCTGTCCATCACCAATTCCCGGAGTTCACTCAAACCCATGTCCGTCGAGTTGGTGATGCCATCCAACCATCTCATCCTCTGTGGTCCCCTTCTCCTCATGTCCCCAATCTTTCCCAGCATCAGGGTCTTTTCAAATGAGTCAGCTCTTTGCATCAGGTGGCCAAAGTATTGGAGTTTCAGCTTCAGCATCAGTCCTTCCAATGAATATAGCATTACTTACCTACAGCCAAGTTCCTAGTAGGTGGGCATTTTCCAAGCACTTGCCAGGGAAACAGTTAGGATGAACACAGGTGCTTGATTCTACATAGTCAGACTCAAGTTGACCATCCCCCACTCAGTAAATTTAAGAAAATTGAAATCATTATCAGGCATCATTGAAATCCTATCAGGCATCTTTTCTGGCCACAATACTGAGACTAGATATCAATTACAGGGAAAAAAAGCTGTAAAAAACACAAACACATGGAGATTAAACAATACATTTTTAAATAACGAAAAGGTTACTAAAGAAATAAAAAGGGAAATAAAAAAAAATTCCTAGAAACAAATGACAATGAAAATATGACAGCCCAAAACCTACGGGATGCAGCAGACTCAAGGTGGCCATCCCCTGACTATTCTCTGGACTTCCCTCTTGGCAGAACTGGTCCAAAACCTGAGGTGCTCAACTCTGTCTGCAGAAGTGAGAGCTTGTGTTCAGGCTCTGTGCCAGCTCTCTTCCACCCGCCATCCGTTTATTCTCATGCCTCCTAGTCTCATGTTCAGGCCGTAGGTAATTCATCCCACATTGGCAAGCATATTGAGGTCCAGGTACTTTCCAGTTTTCTTTTTCAAAATCCCAAATTGAGAAATATTTACAAACAGCATCACCTGACATAAAGACCTTAGAGGGAATGCCATTCTCTAGACAGCGAGGACCACATGCCAAAGTCCGCCAGTGTCATGGTTGGTTGGTTGGTTGGTTTTCCCAAACCTCAGTTGGCACTCAGCCTCCTGGATGACATTCTTATTCATCTTCTCTTTTCCCTGGAAGCCCTCCCTCCACAGTTCAAACTTGTGTTCTTTTTAAAAAATGAATATTTCCTGGTGAACTGCTCCTCCGGCACAGTTCTTCCAGAGTAAACCCAGAGTAAAGTCTCCCCTGTTCTTCGGAAGTACAACACACCGTTTCAACCAGATTACAGGTTCTTCATCCAGGCAAGCCCTCAAGTTTCATCATTTTTATTGAATAAAGGGACAAAGCAGGAGAAAGCTTGGTTACTAGGAATTTGTGTGAAAAATATATAGGAAGGTTTTTTTTTTGGTATGCGTGTTTTTTATTTGTGGGCCAAGCAAGATGAACTGATGTTTTAAATGTCTTCAGTTTTGTTATTGACGGAGAACTTATGTACAGAAAAGTATGCCAGTCATAGTTCAATAAATGATCAGAAAATGAACATACCTTTGTGATTGCTACCTGTATCAAGATAGAAAATCTCCAGCACCCTGGAAGCCCCTGCTCCCAATCACTCCCACCCTCGTCCTCCCTAGAATAAACATTGTCCTGATTTCTAACATCACAGAGCACTAACTGGGTTTTGTCGCACGGCCTTTCCTGTCACTGCGTCCTGCCTCCCACCCTCTACTTCCCTTACGTGGCTTCGGTTGGATATAAATGAATGAATCTCAGCTCTTGAATTTTGCTCCTAAAGACAAGTTAGGATATTTTGTACAGGAGAAAGGGACTCTTTAAAGAAGTTGTATTTAAACAGTTGTGATTAAAGGAAAGTGTGCAGGGTCAGTGTTCCTTATTGGAAAGGTAGGAGTCCAGCTCTGGAGAGAGAGACCTGGCATACAGGTGCAGGGGTGTGAGCGTGGTGGCCACAGTGACAAGGGTGAGGAGATGTGTGTGTGTGTGGTTAGTCCTTTACCTAACTCAGCTACTTTTCTTTTTCTTTTTTAATAATTAAAACAAGATATTTCTTTATTTGGCTGTGTCGCATCTTAGTTGTACTGCAGTATTCAGGAGCTTAGTTCCCCAGCGGAACTGAACCCCCCACCTCTCCTGCATCACAAGGTGGACTTTTAACCACTTGACCACCAGGGGGTCCCCAGTCCCTTATTTCCTGAGTCCTCCATTTCCTAAAGGAATGGGTTTACTGAATCCTGGCCATGTGAGTGGGTGAGCCCTTTGAGTTCTGTCTTTCCGTGTGTTATCCTTAGGACCTGAACGCCCACAAGAAGCAAGGGATGGCATTACTGACTCGGGTGGGCGAGTCGGTCAAGCATGTCGCTGGCGGCTACAAGCTGAGAAGTCGGCCTCTCGAATTCGCAGCCATCGGCGAGTACTTAGACACGTTTGCACTCAAGCTGGGAACTATCGATCGAATAGCCCAGCGGATCATCAAGGAAGAAATAGGTGAGCTCTCTGTCAAGGTCTGGATCAGGCCCGTGGACCACATTTGCAGAAATGGCACTCATGTGTGCCAGGCAGAATCAAACTGCTGAAATGCTGGAGTGGCAGAACCAGGCCACACTATGCTCATAAAACCAACAGACACACACATACACAAGGAGCGGGGGAGGTAGTTAAAACCAGAGGGTAATTTTGTACTCCATCCCTGGCCCTGCATTTCATCCTGTGTTTGATTTCACCACAGCAAAAAGCCACTCTGAGCCGTTAGGCTTTTCTAGTTTTATCTCTCTCTCAACTTTCCTTCTTCCACTGCCAGAGGATGAGCTGGTTGGATGCCATCCTCTCTGTCATCCATAGGGACGATCATTTAAAAATTAAACTTAAGTATCTTTTCTGGCAGAAAGGCAATTCAAAAGGACAGCCCGTGTTTGCCAAAGTTCTGATCCTAAGGAGGTTTCAGACTTGAAATTGACTCACCTGCCACTCCTTGGCTTCATTTCAAGCCCACTCTTCCTGACCGGAGGAGTTACGAGGCCTTTCTTTAACCTTCCTGGTTGCTGCACTGCTTCATCCCCACCCGTCTCTTGGCCACTTGCTTTTCTGTTTCCCAGAATGTGGGGGCCTTTTATCTTACGCACGTGTAGGCCAAACACACCTGAACAGTATTAGTGATCATACTGGCATGTGATGTGAAACGTAGGAAAGGATTTCCTGGTAGCTGCAGTGCATTGGTTACTAAAAAACTGCAGCAATGTTTTATCGTAATGGCAAGAATCCTGGTGACAATTGATGGCCAGATTTTCTTTGTGAAGAGAAATAAAACAACATATTGCCCTGTTCTCAGTGTTTTAGTTCTCCTGTACCTGCTGCTGTTCTCATGTAGGCCTGCAGGTTTTAGAGATGGCTTTAGGTACCACCCACAGCTAAAGATCATTTGGGGTAAATTCTGATGGGCCCAAGGTGTTGGGGCGACCCCTGAGTGAGAAAGTGAGTCTGCCTACCTAAGGCCACACTTCCTTATATCAAGTATTTCCTAAAATTCTGTTGTTTTTCCACCATAACTGATTTTCTTTTTTTTTTTCTTTTGAAAACATCCCCCTAAACCTATATGAAACTCTGCTTCCATGGCCTGTCAAAATATTGCTTCTCTGTAGGGGTAGGTGAGTAGGTTTTTTGGAAGATATTTAGTGGATGTCACTCCCAGCACTTTCTCCCCAAAGGCATGGTGCCTCCCATTATCCAGAGTCATGATATTCCCATTATGCAGTGGAATTGATTGATGTTATGATGTTAGCTGTAACATCAGCTTACAGAGACTGTAAAAAATATTCTGTTGCAATCAGTGCTGTGTTTAAAGGCAAGCATGCTCAGAGAGCTCTCTGCTGCAGTAGTTATTGAGTCAGGAGTACCACTGGTTGCTGCCCAGCCAGATGTCAGCTGGTTTCTCTGTCCCCTTCAGAGTACCTTGTAGAGCTGCGGGAATACGGGCCCGTGTACTCCACGTGGAGCGCGCTAGAGGGGGAGCTGGCGGAGCCCCTGGAGGGGGTGTCAGCCTGCATCGGCAGCTGCTCTGCCGCCTTGGAGGAGCTGACCGACGACACGACAGAAGACTTTCTACCTGTGCTCAGGGAGTACATTTTATACTCTGACTCCATGAAGGTAAGCTGGCTCCCTCCTTGTGCACCTGGGTACTTTATTGTCAGTAACCAAAAACAGATTGGCTATTGCCTGTTTGCATGTGGTGTCAGGCTTCCCTGGCGGCTCAGCTGGTACAGAATCTGCCTGGAATGTGATAGACCCGGGTTCGATCCCTGGGTTGGAAAGATCCCCCGGAGAAGGGAACAGCTACCCGCTCCAGTATTCTAGCCTGGAGAATTCCATGGACTGTATAGTCCACAGAGTCGCAAAGAGTCGGACATGACTGAGCGACCTTCACTTCACTTCACTTAGGCTTCCTTCTTCCTAGATGGGCAGGATCAGACATGTGGACTGACCTCTTTCTTGAACATGTAAAAAGAACACATGGTGAATACAAGTATGCAAATTAAATGAAAAAAAAAGTTTGGAAGAGATTCTTACTAGAATCTTAGAGGGGGAGCTAGCTAGAGTTCTCTGAGAGTTTGAGATACAACATTTGATTAAGAACAATATGTTGTGGGAAAAGAACAATTGAATAATAATTAGAGCTCTTTGAAGTTAAAGTATGATTGCTAAAATAATATTGAAGAGCACAGTTGGAAAATGAGGCTGAGGAAATCTTGGCAAGTATTGTAAAACAAATTCAAAATGTAGTTGGAAAGTAGAACAAAAATGCAAAAATACTGAAAATGTGAAAGAATGATAAAAGATGTAGAGGATTAATCTTAAAGGTTCAGCATCTGATTGATAAGAGTTCTTGATGGAAAGAACAGAGAAAACTGAGAAAAGGAAATTATGAAAGAAGCAATACAAGAAAGTTTCCCTAAACCAAAGGGCATAAGTCTTTAGATTAAAAGGACAGGTTGATTACCCAGCAAAAGGACTGGACTGAAAACCAACCCAAAGCATATCATTGTAAAATTTTAGGACAGAAGTGATAAGATTCAGGTACAGGATCAAATGCTTAAATGTCCACATTAGAAACTGCCCCAGCCTGCACTTAGACTGGTTGGAGAGTATAGCTGTGGGGAACACCTATGATGGTGGGCAAGGTTCATCTTGGCTAACTTACTCATTTTTATAGATGAAGAAGCAGAGGCTCATGGGTAGATCTTTTCTCTGTTCCAGGTCTAATGAGCAGCCACCTTATATTTGTGTCTTTACTGTTGGCGAGAGAAACTGGATCAGTTCCTGCTTTTCAAGGCTGAGGCTCACATTGTCTTTAAGTGTAGTTGTGGCACGGTACATTCTGTTCCCTTCAGAGGCAGGGAAAAAGCACAGAAAAAAGGCACTGTGAGGCCATGTGGAACTGATGAATAATGTTCAGTGGACAATGAAGACAGCTTGTATGGGATTGGTGGTTGAAGATGTGTTTCCAAGAATACTGTGGAGTGAGCAATGCTTGAGAGAGAAGGGTACCAAAGTTACCCTCAGGCTCAGGACTCAAACACGCTGTAGACATCTGCAGGTGAGCCCTTATATGGGCTCACATTCTATACACAGCGTGTATATAAAATATGATTATGATAGTGATGGGCTGGGAGAGAGAACACGTTAGAGTCTTTAGCAAAGTTCCAGCAGTGCTTTTTGAGCACTAGTGTCATTATGACCAGGCCAGGAGTTGGAGAAGCTTTATTTAAGAAAGTTAGGGAAGGGCCCTATACTTCATATCTCACACTGTCTTATTCATGGAAGGTAGTCAGTGAATATTTAATTGAAGCTGACAGTGTGGTGCGTTTAGAACGTTTACAGATACATAACTATTGTATGACACGTATCTTGTTATTTTTAATAACTTATAGTACGTTTATCTACAAGTCAAAGAGCATGCCTGTCTCAGAGGTACTGGTGATGACTAGTGAGATGAGAGTCAGAGGAGAGAGTGATAAAGTAAAGGCCAATGCAAGTGGAGCCAGTTGAACAAGGGAGTGGGTGGGAGGTGGGGAGGTCAAATAAGTAAAGGATGAGATATGACGAGACATACGGTAGTATCTTAAAGGTCACAGCTGGTAAGCCTGGATTTTGTTCTTAGGGATAAAAGAGAAGCCATTTGGTTTCATGCAGGGAAATGACAGGATACGGTTTGTACTTTAAGAAGACAGCTAATGCTGTAATAATGAAGGATGGATTGTGGAGAGAAAGGGTCAGGGAGAGGGAGAGAGAGTGATAAAGATCCGGAGACCATCAGGAAACTGTTGCAGGGAGCCTAGTAGCAGATAACTAAGTGGTAGAGCTTGGAGAAATGAGCACACTTGGAGTATATTTTGTGTGAAGGACCAACTTGACTTGCTGCTATGTTAATGGAAAGTGAGAAATGAGGGAACTGAGGATGACTCCTAGGTTTTGGGCTTCAGCAACTGTGTTGATAGTGGTCCTCTTTAGTGAGGTGGGGAAGTTTGGAGGAGAACAGTTGGGAATCAAGTTGTTTTGGCCATACTAAGTTTAAAAAAAAAGTGCCTATTAGACATTAAAGTAGAGCTGTCATGGCAGCTGCTTATGAGTTCAGAAGGAGTAGAAATTTGGGAGTCATTTGTTGATAGATGACATTTAAATCTGAGAGTTGGGGCAATCATCTGGGGAGATGAGACTGAGGCAGACAGTCCAGGACTCTTCCTGTATCTTCCAGTATTTAGCGGTCTAGCACCTAATTAGGGGGATGGACGAGGAGAAAGGAGCCTGAGAAGGAATGGTCAGTGTAATAGGAGGAGGAGTAGAGGAGGACCTTAGTAAAGCCGAGAGAAACAACTGTTAGAAAGAGCATGATAAGCAGTGACCATCAGACTTAATAATGTGGAAGTCACTGCTGATCGTGATTCTAGGTGTAAGATATAGCTATGAAGTTTGGGTTAGAAGACAGCCTGTTTATTCTGATTATTTCTGATTCTGATTATTTCATTGCCATATGATTCTTGATTTATTTTTCATTTTTCTTAAAAAATTTTTTTTGGAGTATAGTTGATTTTACAGTGCTGTGTTTGTTTCAGGTGTACAACAGAGTGATTCAGTTATACATATATTCATCCTGTTTCAGACCTTTCCCCATAAGTTATTACAGAATACTGAGTAGAATTCCCTGTATATAATAGGTCCTTCTTGGTTATCTATTTTATATATGGTAGTGTATGCATGTTAATCCCAAGCTCCTGATCTATCCCTCCCCCACCACATTTCCCTTTTGTTAACCATGTTCGTTTTTGATATATATGTCTATTTCTGTTTTGTAAGTTCATGTGTATCATTTTTTAAAAATTGGGTTCTACATGTGAGTGGTATCACATGATATTTATCTTTCTCTGTCTGACTTAAACTTCACGTACTATGATCAAGTCCAGATCCAGTCTGATGATTTCTTTGGCCTACGCGCCTTCTCCCCCCAGAGACCACAAGGTGGCGCTAATGAGTCAAGTGACTAGTCTATGCTTTTAGGCTGCCTTTCCAAACCTAAGAAAGATTTTCTAGACGGCTGATTTGAGGGAAAAAAAAGTCCTCCTTCCTAAACAAAAGTGACTATAGACTGAGGGCCTGCTTTCTTGAAAATGTGAAGAATTATGGATGTAGCAATGTACATAATGACCTCAAATATTTTTAAAATTAGAAAATATAAAAATCAAAACTCTGAGATTCCCAGTTAGGGCTGAATTGGATACATATTGAAACTTCCTCTTTTCATAAAATCAGAATGACTCCAGAATGATTTTTTTTTTTTAAGGCTTAAGTCCCCCGGGGAGTGGTGGGGGAGGGGGTGGAAAGAGCAGCAGGAAGGGAAACAGCAGCAGTACAATTAGGAACCAAAAGCAAATTGAGAGGTGATAAAGACTCAGGCGACTCAAAGCTGCTTAAGCTGGCTGTGGGGAAAACTGAGAAGCCACCTAGTTTGCACTTCGGACTCCTTCAGAAAGGTTAAGAATTGACAGCACTGGGTACCTGGGACGGAGGGAAAGATGGAGCTGAGGAGCAGGGTTGATCAGGGGTCTGTTTAAGAAGCAGCTGGAGCTTCCGATTCTGTCCTCCTTCCAGGCACCGGGGCCGCTGTCCTTTCCTCACTCGGGCAGAACTGGAGATGTCTTCTCTGCTGCTGCACCTGCTCGGCCGCTCAGTCGTGTCCGATTCTTTGTGACCCCACGGACTGTAGCCCGCCAGGCTCCTCTGTCCATGGGATTCTCCAGGCAAGAGTACTGGAGTGTGTAGCCATTTTCCTCCTCCAGGGGATCTTCCCAACCCAGGGATCGAACCCAGGTCTCCTGTATCTTCTGCACTGCAGGTGGATTTTTTTACCCATTGAGCCGTTGGGGAAGTCCCCATAGAGGGTCTCTGCTCCAAGAGACAGCAGGCACAGTTGAGGGTGTGGCCTGAAATCCTAAAATCAAGAGCAAAGGGTTACTAAATGTTGAAACTCTTAGTTGTCTTCCTCTGCTTGGCTCTCAGCCTTATACCTTTTCCTGAAAGAGTTGGAGGGCCTTTTAGAAAAAATCTAAACAGGCTGGGAGAAGAGACTAGAATATACTGATATTTAGTGGGAGGGGGGCATCCTCAGTGAAAGGACCCAGCAGAGTCCCTGTAGAGAACTGTCAGGAAGCCCTCAACATCAGAGAACTTTCAACAGTTTTTAGTGTTTCCCTCTTGGGCGGGTGTGCAGAAAAGGCTCACCAAATATTTAAGGGAAGGTTCTAATGTGAATACAGGTAAATACAAAGAAGGAAAAACATAAACCATCATTGAGGGAGAAGAACTTTTCCAGGAAAAGAATTCATTAATATCTTCAGAAAGAGAAGAGACGTCACAGCCATAAAACAGGCATTTTTAAAATTCCAGAGAATAAGCGAAGAGCTCATGGAATGACGATCAAGATAGAAATGAAAAGAAGAAAAAAAAACCCCACACAAACAGGAGAGTTAGAAGAACAGGTTAAGGAAATGACTATAAAATGAAACAGAAAGACAGATGGAGGATTGGAGAGAAAAAAATATATAAAAATGAGAGGACCAGGCCAGACCAGATATCTAATATTTCAGATATCCAAT